TGCAGGCACATTCTTTACCACCAGGGAAACCCTAAAAAGTGATGGTCCCTAAGTTGTGTCCCTGACTCTCTGCGACCCCGTGGACTGTAGCCCACCAGACTCCTCTGTCCTTGGGACTGTCCAGGCAAGAACACTGGAGTGGGTTGCGATGCCCTCCTGTAGCGGATCTTCCCCACCCAGGGATCGAACCCATGTCTCCTGCATTGCAGGCAGATTCTTTACCATCTGGGCCACAACTTGGGTGACGTACATGCGTACGACCTCACCTAAGTCAACACAGAACTGTTTCTCCTCTCTCCCCACGATGGTGCCGGCTCCCCGTCCGCTTCCTACGGAGTCATTTTCCTGCTCTCAGTCGTCTGCACCCGTCAGGGTCCAGCGTCCTCTGGATGAAGACTGAGTCACTGCCAGGACCGAGTTCTCAGATACCGGAGATGCCGGGACACTGGACTTTTCTGGGTTTGTAACAGCAGTGGGGCTTCCCCGGTGACACTCGTGGTAAAGAGCCCAGCTGCCAATGCAGGAGACAGAACACACGCACGTTCGAATCCTGGGTGGGGAAGGTCCCCTGGAGGAGGGCGTGACAGCCCGCTCCACTATTCTTGCCTGGAGCATCCCATGGACAGAGGAGCCTGGTGGGCTACAGTCCGTGGGGTCGCACAGAGTCAGACACGACTGATGCGCCTTTGCACGCAGGCACACAGCTGGACAGAGGTCAGCACTCAGAGGAGGGTGGTCTGGGCCCTCTTGGGAGCTCTCGAAGCATTTGAGGCTTCGGGTCAAAATGTGGACACCCCACTCTGTTCTTTGTCCCGGGGGTGTTCAAACCTGCACGCTCCCTCCCCGGCCGCCTCTCGGGGTTCAGAAACTGCTCCAGGCTTTCAGTGCACTCAGTCCTTTTGTTTGCATCATGAATCTCTGTGGACTTCTGGCTTCTGGGGAAACAGGGGTGGAGAAAGGACGGGTTGGGTTTGCCTGTGTCCAGAAGCACCGTCTCTACGGACCTCCTCATGGACCTTCCCCGCGTCCATCCGGAGGCTCTCCAAGGGACCCCAGAAACCCGACCCTTCTTCAGCTGCGCTGCTGATGACAATGGGCATTTTGCACCCAGGGCTACTGAAGGGGCTTCCTGACTCTTAAGACTGCTTGCATTTTTTTTTTTTTTGCTCTCCTCTTGTTGGTGAAAATGCCAGGGTGAGTTAATTTGGGGATCTGGTTCCTGGGGCTCCATCATGTTTTGAGCCAGTGCACCCAGGAAGTCACTGTCTCTTCTTCCCGTCTTCTTGGTGGTGGGGTTGGTGTTGGTCCCGAACCCTGGTCAGGTTTTCCTGTCCGCTGAGGGCTGACCACGTGGTTCTGATGATCTCTGCCAACCTCGGTGAGAGGCGATGAGTCTGGCATTCTTTCAGATCAGAAAAGAAAGCAACTGCATTTTTTTCTCTCTCTGGGACATGCGACGCAGGCTGAATGCGCCCCATTTGGGGGTCTGAGCCTAGGACTCTCTCAAGGTGACCATTTTCTGGAAGCACAAGTTCTGGGTTTTTTTGTGGGGGTGGTGTGTGGCTCGTGGTTCAAGAACAGCACTGCAATAACTGCACTCATGCTGCTTCTGAGCCGAGCTACGGAGACAAGGTGCGTGTGTGTTGACGGATGAATGGATAAGAAAATGTATTTATATAACGTTCCCTCGTGTGTCTAAACACACAGGGGAATATTACTCAGCCTTAAAAAAAAAAAAAAGAAGGCAATCTTGCCATTTTCGACAACACGGATGGACCTGGAGGGCATTATGCTAAGTGAGATGAAGTCAGACAGAGAGAGACAAATTCTGCATGATTTCTCTGCGCGGTGGAATCTGAAATAGTCAGCCTCACGGAGGCAGAGGAGGATGCTTGCCCAGGGCTGAGGGAGGTGGAACCGGGGAGGCGATGATCTAAGACCAAGGGTCCCCGGCCTCCAGCACCTGCTGCCTGATGATCTGAGATGGAGCCGATGTAATCACAGTAGAAACCAACCACATGGTGAATGCGATGTGTGTGAATCATCCCGAAACGTTCCCTGCACCCATCCTGGCCCGTGGGAAAAACTGTCTTCCACGAAATGGGTCCCTGGATGGATGGATGACTGCCGTCTAGAGCACAGCCTTCCAGCTCTGAGAAGAAGACGTCCTACATGGGGGATGCGCACCATGGGAAATGCTGCGCTGCACATTTGGAATTGGATAAAGGGGGCGGTTCCTGGGGCTCCCTTGGTGGCTCGGAAGGGAAAGAATCCACCAGCCAATGCGGGAGGCCTGGGTTCAGTCCCTGGGTGGGGAAGATCCCCTGGAGGGGATGGCAACCCACTCCAGTATCCTTGCCTGGCGAATCCTGTGGATGGAGGAACCTGGCGGTCTACAGTCCACGGGGTCTTAAAGAGTCAGACACGACCTAACCGACTAAACAGCAACAACAACACGGATCTTTAGCAGACAGGAAGCATCGGAGCTGGCCGAGACCCAAAATCCTGTCTTTCCATCTCAGCTGTACAATCCCCCTCGTCAGATCACACATATTTACACTTTTGTGCATTACGGGGCCTGGGTCACAACGACACGAATCTGCCAGTGTCACAAAAGCCGCTGGAGGCAGTTATGGAAATGGAGAGACGTGGCTGACTGCCGATAAAACTTTATTTACAAAAACAGGCAAGGGGCCAGATTGGCTGGAGGGAAAGTCCGGGTCTAAATCTTTGCCTATCAAAGTGGGGTTCCGGGGACTTCAGTGTCCCCACTGCCTGGGAACAGCCTCACGGGGTTCACACACCATCTCCCCACGCCCAACCAGCTGGACAAAGCTCGGGCCGTGAGATGTGGGCACATGGGCACAGTGTGATGTGGAGTTTGGCTCCTGAAAGGGGTTTGGAGGTGGTGCCAGACATTGGGAAAGAGCCCGATGGTGGGCAAGATTGAAGGCGACAGAAGAAGGGGACGACAGAGGATGAGATGGTTGGATGGCGTCACCGACTCGATGGACGTGACTTTGAGCACGCTCCGGGAGTTGGTGATGGACGGGGAGGCCTGGCGTGCTGCAGTCCACGGGGTCGCAGAGAGTCGGACACGACTGAGTGACTGAACAACAAAAGTAAATGACAACACCTACAGCGTTTATTCCTTTGTTTTTCCGAGGCGCTCTCTGCACTGATGGCAGTTTTAGCGTGTATGTGTCAGTCGCTCAGTCGTGTCTGACTCTGTGCGGCCCCGTGGACTGTAGCCCCGCCAGGCTCCTCTGTCCCTGGGACTCTCCAGGCGAGAACACTGGAGCGGGTGGCCTCGCCCTCCTCCAGCGGATCTTACCAACCCAGGGGTCGAACCCGAGTCTCCCACACTGGCAGGTGGATTCCTCACCATCTGAGCCGCCAGGAGAGCCCTCGGATAACGGCCGCTGCTAAGCAGTTCTTGGCCGTCACAGCTGCAGCCTGGTTAAGCGTGCAGCCTCCAGACGTTAAGGCGACAGAGAGAAGGTCTCGCAGTGCAGGCGTCAGGCAAGGGTGCCTGCACCCCAGGCGTCTGAGGGGGGCCCTGGGGAGAAAGGGATGAATATGTCGTGATCTGACCCTCTGGGAGAAATCCATCCAGGAAAGCAAGAGCAAGTGCTTGACAGAGAGACAGAGAATCTCGTTATCTTAACAGCTGTAAATCCCAATTATTTCTCAGACAGTAAAATCCACTCTAAAATATGCATACTTAGAAAAAAAAAAGTGTGGCACTTTGGGTATTACATACGCCCCCAAACCCAGATCTCTCAGCGCCTCTCTCTAATCGCTGGCATTTTTTTCTTTTTCTGCAGTGGCTCTGATTTCAGGAAATTTCCACCTCCCCTTTCCTGCAGGTATGTGAGTCCGAGATAGACGACTCAGACCCGAGACTTCTGTGGGCAGCGGGGCTTGCTGTCGGGGGAGGCGCAGGGCCGCTAATCAAGGCTGTCTGCATGGAGCGGCGAAGCGGCTGCTGCAAACTCAAGCGTGCACAGACGCCGCGCCTGGCTCTCGGGGTTCGGATCCCGGTGTCCCTTTGATCCCTCCGTCCTCAAGACTAACAGCCAGCAAGGTGCGTCCTTGCACCAAACTTGGGTGGATTTCATTTTTCCGCAAGCACTCAGCTAACTTTCTGGTTCTTTTTTTTTTTTTTGTCCCCAACGTCCATGCCATTCTGTGCCTTGGCAGCCAGGAAAATGTAAATGAGCTGAGATTTTTTTTTTTTTTTTTAACAAGGCAGGCCCTCGGAGGTGACCCCTCACGGATCTAAGCGGCAGAGTTTCAGGCGTGGCCGGGGACAAACGCTCCGAGAACGCGGGCCCTTGTGTTTCATCAGAACCCGCCGCCGTTCGGCTGGGGGGAGTCAGACAAGCTGCTTAATGAGCGGAGATCAGCCTGCGCGGGGAGACCTCTGATGTGTGACACCAGGCGCCCACAAACCAGGCCCCCGCCCCGCCCGCTCCCCTGAACGTAGACAAATAAACCCGGCGGGCACCCGGCTCAAAGGCAGCTCGGTGGCCACCGCGCCTGGCAGTGAACGATCCTCGCCGCCCCCGGGCTCTTTGAAGCTGTTTAAATTCTTCGGAACACGGCCGTCTCCTGTCCCCCTCAGCCCCAACCCCGAACGAGGACAATCAGAGTCCAGCGGGCTGGAAACACAGCACAGGGCAGAAGCTAGGCGCGGGCTAAACGGCGGCACAGGAAGCTTTTCCTCCTTGTATGTTGCTGTTCCTGGAGATCAGAGTTCTGGGTTCGGCGCTAATTAAGAAAAGCCAGTGGGGACTCCCTCCCCGGCCTTCTGGCATGGAACGCGGCCTCGGAGGAGGATGGCCCCGAAATCGCCCCAAGATTTAAATAATTAATATGACACCTTGAGCTCCAAATGGGGGAAAAGTAAAGAAAAAAGAGGGAGGCCAGTGTTGGCGGTTTCAACAATGCCCGGGCCAGTTCGATGCCATTTGTTCTGGGGCTGAGGGGTTGAGGGGATGACGGCTCAGCTCTTTGTCATGCTAAGGGATCCCTTTGTGGGCACCGGGTCCCCGGCCCCCCTCCGAAGGAGGCTTGGAGGAGAGGGAGTGTGCGTCCCCAAGCTGGAGGATGGTCATTTAATGGTCTTTAATCCTCTTATTCCGGGCGATCGGCCGGCTGCAAAGATGGTCCCAGAAGCCCCACAGAGCCAGCGCCTGGCGGGGCAGAGCGGGCTGGGGGGGACCCAGAGACGCTCTGGGAATGTCCTGTTTGCCACATGGCGTTGTGCTCAGTTCCTCTGCCGTGTGCCCGGAGCCATCTGACCGCAGGCGAGTAGCATGCAGTTGAAATCAGCTGCAAATCCCATGTCCTGCGCAGTGTCTGGGGAGCAGTGCCAGCCAGATGGATGGGTGGATGGATGGTGGATGGATGGATGATGGATGGATGGTAGATGGATGGATGGATGGATGGGTGGATTGATGGATGCATGGGTGGGTGGGTGGATGGATGGATGGATGGATGATGGATGGGCAGATGGATGGATGGGTGGGTGGATGGATGGATGGATGGGTGGGTGGATGATGGATGGGCAGATGGATGGATGGGTGGGTGGATGGATGGTGGATGGGTGGGTGGATGGATGGATGGATGGATGGGTGGGTGGATGATGGATGGGCAGATGGATGGGTGGGTGGATGATGGATGGGCAGATGGATGGATGGGTGGGTGGATGGATGGTGGATGAGTGGGTGGATGGATGGATGGATGGGTGGGTGGATGATGGATGGGCGGATGGATGGATGGGTGGGTGGATGGATGGTGGATGGGTGGGTGGATGGATGGATGGATGGATGGGTGGGTGGGTGGATGATGGATGGGCAGATGGATGGGTGGGTGGATGATGGATGGGCAGATGGATGGGTGGGTGGATGGATGGTGGATGAGTGGGTGGATGGATGGATGGATGGGTGGGTGGATGATGGATGGGCAGATGGATGGATGGGTGGGTGGATGGATGGTGGATGAGTGGGTGGATGGATGGATGGATGGGTGGGTGGATGATGGATGGGCAGATGGATGGATGGGTGGGTGGATGGATGGTGGATGGGTGGGTGGATGATGGATGGGCAGATGGATGGATGGGTGGGTGGATGGATGGTGGATGGGTGGGTGGATGGATGGATGGATGGATGGGTGGGTGGATGATGGATGGGCAGATGGATGGGTGGGTGGATGATGGATGGGCAGATGGATGGATGGGTGGGTGGATGGATGGTGGATGAGTGGGTGGATGGATGGATGGATGGGTGGGTGGATGATGGATGGGCAGATGGATGGATGGGTGGGTGGATGGATGGTGGATGGGTGGGTGGATGGATGGATGGATGGATGGGTGGGTGGATGATGGATGGGCAGATGGATGGATGGGTGGGTGGATGGATGGTGGATGGGTGGGTGGATGGATGGGTGGGTGGATGATGGATGGGCAGATGGATGGGTGGGTGGATGATGGATGGGCAGATGGATGGGTGGGTGGATGGATGGTGGATGAGTGGGTGGATGGATGGATGGATGGGTGGGTGGATGATGGATGGGCAGATGGATGGATGGGTGGGTGGATGGATGGTGGATGGGTGGGTGGATGGATGGATGGGTGGGTGGATGATGGATGGGCAGATGGATGGATGGGTGGGTGGATGGATGGTGGATGGGTGGGTGGATGGATGGATGGATGGGTGGGTGGGTGGATGATGGGCAGATGGATGGAAGGGGGGGTGGATGGATGGTGGATGGGTGGGTGGATGGATGGGTGGATGATGGATGGGCAGATGGATGGATGGGTGGGTGGATGGATGGATGGATGGGTGGGTGGATGATGGATGGATGGGTGGATGATCGATGGGCAGATGGATGGATGGGGGATGGGTGGGTGGATGGATGGGTGGGTGGATGGATGGATGGACAGGTGGGTGGATGATGGATGGATGGGTGGATTGATAGGTGCTGGATGAAGGATGGATGGATGATGGATGGACAGATGATGGATGGATGGGTGGATTGATGGGTGAAGGATGGATGGATGGATGGATGGGTGGATGATGGATAGATGGATCAGTGATGGATGGATGGATGATGGATGAATGCATGGGTGGATGGATGGATTTATTATGGATTGATGCATGGTTGGATGGGTGGGTGGGTGGATGAATGATGGATAGGTGGATGGGTGGATGGATGACAGATAGATGGATATGTGGGTGGATGGATGGGTGGATGACGCACCTAGGTAACCAGGGTGGAGACTAGGGTCTTGGCTTAGGGTACATGTGTGGGCACAAGCACACAGACCCACATAGTACACATACAGAGGTACACACACAGGCACACGCACATAGTATGCACACACCGTATGTTCTAAAGACACTCAGACACACACAGGACATACACAAGCACACAGCACACACAGCACATGCAGAGACACAAGCCCACATGCAAATGCAACTCAGACACGCAGTCACAGAACATCTATAGCCATCCATCTTGACCCCCGTGTGGTGGATAGGATAATGTCCCCAAAGACGTCCACGGCCTGGTTCCTAAAACCTGGGGTCTGTTTTTTTTTTTTTTAACATGGGGAAAGGACCTCTGCAGATGTGATTAAATGGAGGATTTTGATGGAGAGAGTCTTCTGTGTTATCCAGGTGGCCCCTAATTGCAATCGTGAGGGCCTTATAAAGAGGAAGCTGAGAGGGTTGTCTCTCCCTTCTGCCCTCTGCCCTTGCAAAATCAGCTGCAGCAGGAAGTGGTCCCCCCTCCCTCTCCGGTCATCCTCGGGGAGCTGGGCTCCTGAGGTCACTGAATAGTTTGCAACGTGATGCAAAGCGCGGACAAGATTAATTTTGTGCTGAATATCAGAAAAGCATGTCATGAAATGATCCTTTCACGGCACTCCTTTGCTCCTCAAAATTACTTTTTATTCCAATTATGGATTTTTATGGAGACATTGTTTGATAATGTAATAATATTTGCCACTTCCCTTCCTCTGAGGGCGACGATGAATGTTTAATAAGACACCAAAGTTGCAGAGGTGTTATGAGCTTCTCCAAAGAGAGGTACTCGATAAATTAATAATAGGGAGAAATTATGCACCACATTGTGTAAAAAGGAGAAAAAAAATCAATTGCTGCGTCTGAAGGGCCGCCAATCCACTTTATATTCTGAATGTTTAGAGTTAATTAATTGAGTTACACCCTCTATTAAAGAAACAAACACGTCAGCTTTTTAAGTTCTTGTTTTTCAGGCACAAAAAGTCATGGGCTTCCCTGAGGGGGTGGGTTCCCCATCATTTCAGTTGTCACTGAAAAGTGGGGAAAATCGTTGTTGTTGTTTAGTCACTTAATCCTGTCCAACTCTTTGCAACCCCGTGGACTGCGGCACGCCAGGCCTCCCTGTCCATCACCGACTCCCTGAGCTTGCTCAAGCTCATGTCCATCGAGTCAGTGATGCCATCCAACCATCCCATCCTCTGTCATCCCCTTCTCCTCCCGCCTTCAGTCTTTCCCAGCATCAGGGTCTTCTCCAGTGAGTCAGCTCTCTGCATCAGGTGGCCAGAGTATTGGAGCTTCAGCTTCAGCATCTGTCCTTCCAATGAATGTTCAGGGTTGACTTCCGTGGGTGTTTACAGCCGCTTTATTTACTGTGTCCAAACCCCTGCGCACACAATGCCAACTGCCCTATCGCTGGCTGCAGGCAGAGGCTGCAGTCAGACCCCCTGAACTGATTTATCTTACAACCAAAGGTTTGCATCCTTGAAGCGTCCATGGCGGCTCAGCTGGGAAAGAATGTCCCTGCAATGCAGGAGACGTGGGTTTGATCCCTGGGTCGGGAAGATCCCCTGGAGGAGGGCATGGCCACCCACTCCAGTCTTCTTGCCTGGAGAAGCCCATGGACAGAGGGGCCTGGCGGGCTGCGGTCCATGGGGTCACGAAGACTCAGACACGACTGAAAGGACTTGGCACACACTAAGATACCTTGTCTTTCCAAGACCCACGGCAACTTCCACGGCCCCCGCTGTGGGTTTTCTCCTGTGTCTCCTCCCCGCTGTAATCTGTAACTCTGACTTCCTCTGCAAGAGCAGAGACCTTCAATTAGCGTCTTCGCTGGGGACTCTAGAATGTCGGTTTCTGCTGGGCTGGAGGAATCACGAGTATGGAAGGGACGGAAAGTGGCAACGTTGCCCGTGGTCTGCGGCTTCCCGGCTGCCCACTCAGATTCTGGGGGCGGCTTGGGTAGCAGATTTCCCTGTGATACTTAAACTGTGGTTCGGTTTACAAGAATTCCAGGAGGCCTGGGGCAAACGGAATATCCAGTCGTGTCTAATTCTGCCCCTTGGCTTTCCAATGAGAGGAAAATTCTGTACGCTCTTGAAATTCCTGTGTGTGTGTCCCTATCTCTGTTCAATCTATTTACCTATCACCTATCTATGATCTAGATAAACTATAATTCAACTCATCTATTTCTAAAGTGAAAGTGTTAGTCACTCAGTCATGTCCGATACTTGGCAGCCCTGTGGACTGTAGCCCACCAGGCCCCTCTGTCCATGGGATGCTCCAGACAAGGATACTGGAGTGGGTTGTCATTTCCTCCTCCAGGGGATCTTCCCAACCCAGGTCTCCCGCATTGCAGGCAGATTCTTTACCAGCTGAGCCACAGGGGAAGCCCAAGAATACTGGAGTGGGCAGCCTGTCCCCTCTGCAAGGGATCTTCCTCTCCCAGGAATCGAACCAGGATCTCCTGCATTGCAGGCAGATTCTTTACCAACTCATCTATTGTCTGTCTATTCATCTATTAACTATCTATTGATATATCTCTATTTATTCATCCATCATGGGATCTTTTTCATCTATGTATCTATCTCTATCATATAATATCTAATCTATCTTATCTTATTCAACATTCAACAAAACATGGTCGACATCTTCTCAACTTTTGCATTTACTTCTGTGACATAATTTTAAAGGAGGCATAGTTTTCTAGCAGGGAGAAAGGCGAGCTGGATACATACTTGTTCAACGGATGCACAAAGAATTCAGCATGCGCGGGTGACGATATACCTGTCTCGCTGTCCTTGGACACTTGGAGTCACCCTGGGCTGTGTCCCCGTGGGAGACCGTGGGCAGTCAGCCACCCCCAGGGGCCGAGGCATGGGCTCACCACTCAGCCACCCAGGCGCCCTCAAAGTGTCTCCTCCCGGGACTCGGATGGATGATTTTCTGACACATCTTGTCACCCAGTTAGAACATTTTCCTTTTCACAAAAATCT